TAATGGTGTACTGGGTCTTCTAAGTCACACTTTTCACATTTGTGGGATTGGATTGTGGGATCAGACTGCAGAGAGGGGTAGAGGGAGCAGAAAATAGGAACTTATATTTGTATCATTAATACATCTTAATATTTAAAGATTAGATCCACTCATAAATCCTGTGACCTGTTTGGTTTGATACTTCATAATTGAGGGGTAGATAGAAACTTCTGCTTCACTTGGAACTTCAAACCTTGGTAGTATTTGTCCTTTTCCATAGTAGCAGCTTTCTTCTCTGTTTATCCTCCATTCTATCACATGTTTTATGTATGGAATAATCAGGAAAAATGTTCTGGATAGAAAAATTTCTGTGAAGAAGCCTTGTAAAAAAGAGGAGTTTCTACATATCTGTGTGTGCTGTCAGCTCCGAAGGAAATCCTTTTCCCTTTCTTTTCCCAGGTATCATTTTCAAGCTGCCTCCAAGGCCTGGCCAGTCAGTTCCTGGGGGCCTGTCCCTCCCTCCTGTGCTCAACTACACCATCAGGATGAGCAGCAGGATCACCCAAACCACCAACAGGATCCGTGAGCGCATCTGGACCGTGGGCCCGCACAACTCCACCTCCCAGAGCCAGATTTACAGCAGGGCCTTCATCTACATCCAGGACAGCATTGAAAGGGCCATCATTGAGCTGCAGACTGGCAAGAAACCAGAGGAAATAGCTGTTCAGGTCCAGGCCATGCCCTACCCCTGCTACAACAAGGATATGTAAGTTTGGGTGGCTTTTGCCTTCATGTTTTGTGTCAACTCATCTTGTCTGACTGGTTGAGTTCACCACTCCTTAATACCATACTCACATAGCATAAAAATAATTAAATTCTGTTCATTTGGGTTTTTTTCTCAAGAAAATAGCCAAAAGAGGGAAATTTTGACTTGAAGATGGTCTGTTTAGTTTGCCTAATCTTTAGTTTTCAGTGTTTTTTTATACCTGGTGTGGTGGTAACTGTAGATTTTGCAGCAGGTAAAGCTCCCTGTTTTACTACACATAGTGGGGTTGAGATTTGCCAAAACTTGGTTAAATATGAGTCTTGGCTTGTTCTGCAGGTGTTCACATGCAGACAATGCAGCAGAACTTAGAAAATTTATTTCTGGGGGGGGAAAAAAAGGAATGCCTCAGTTTATGAGCTTTACAGTGTCCAAACTGAGTGGAAAACACACAGGGAAGGGATTTCAGGGTCCATCAGGGAGCACTGCAGGATGTTCAGCAGAAGTATTCATAGATGTGAGGATCACTGTGCCCTGACCCTTGGAGCAAAGGGATAGGCTGGACCTAGGAGTTTTTCCTACTGAAAAACCTCCATGCCAACTGCATGAGCCAAAGGATTGTTTGGGAGCTGTAAAATATCATTTTTGAGCCACAGCAGAGCTGTTCATCTACTGTGTCAGCTGGCACTGAAGAGAGCTGGGCATCTATAACCCCTTCTCAGGACATGTGAGGTACCCAGGAAGCAGGAAGGAAGCATCCAAACCCAATTCTGCAGCAAATTCCTGGGTTATTGCTGAGAGAGAGTTTTGTGCAGTGATTAACTCCTGGGAAAACCACTTGCCTTTGGGTTTCCCTCTCCCCAGCCCAGCTTCAGAGGGAGATGTTTGCTCAATTATTAAAATACCTCAAGGCTTTGGATTTGCATCCAGCAGAAATCATCACAAAATGTCTGCTTATTGATTATTGCACAGTTATTGCACAGTTATCATACTGGAGAGAAGAGGAGGGAGAATATATATATATATATATAAATTTATGTATTTATATAGTTTTATGTATATTTATATGCATTTTTATATATAGTGCCATTATATATTTATATATTGTCTATAATAATAATATATTATATATATTAATATATAATATATGGTATATAATATATATATTTCAGAGGGATATATAATATATATATTTCAGAGGGAAATGTTTGCTCAATTATTAAAAGACCTCAAGGCTTTGGATTTGCATCCAGCAGAAGTCATCACAAAATGTCTGCTTATTGATTATTGCACAGTTATTGCACAGTTATCATACTGGAGAGAAGAGGGAGGAGAATATATATATATATATATATTTATTTATTTATAAATTTATGTATTTATATAGTTTTATGTATATTTATATGCATTTTTATATATAATACCATTATATATTTATATATTGGCTATAATAATATATATTATATATAATAATATATAATATATGGTATATAATATATATTATATATGTTATTTATGTATTATGTATTATACAGTATATATAATATATATATTATGTGGTATTAGTATGTGGTATATTGTATATAGTATATTATGTAGTGTATATAAATATGTATTATATAATATATATTATATAATATATGTATATAATATATATTATATAATATTTATATATATCATTTTTATATGTTGTTATTTATATATATATATATATATATAAACCAGTACATAAGAGGTGTTGGGCCATGCTGAATTCTTAGGAGAGCCTTTCCTGGTTCTTTATAAATAAGGCTTCATTTGCATGGAAGCATTTCCTAAAATGCTGGTTTATAGGAAATTTTCAGCTTTACAGGGAAAAAAAAGTTTGAAAACAAGTGTAATGTTAATTTCTCACTGTTATTGTGCATTAATTCAGGAATAACACTGGTTGTGGGTTTTAACTCAAGTTTCTAAATTAAGGAGGAAAATGTGAACCCTGCAGATGAAGAGGATCCCCTCCTATAAAAACTTGCTTTCCTAGTCAAAAGGAGAAATTTATTGTTGGCCATGGTATTTGGTTTTTTTTTTTCCTCACACAATTGGCACTGGAAGAAGGTTTTAACTAAAATGAGGAGCCAAGAAATGTGCCCTGGGTCTGCCTGTCCTGTGGGGTGGTGGGACAGACAACCTTTGGGAAAACACCCACATCCAGACTCCAACACAGGAAATATGGCCTGATCATGAAATTTGGCCATTAGATCTGAGAATTATGGGATGTTTCCAAATGGAATGCAGCTCATCAGAGAGCCAGGAGATGCCACTGCCCATGGTGCTTCCTGCTCCTGCCAGTGGTGCTGCTGAGCAAGGAAATCCCTCTGCAACATTAAAAAAAAAATAAAAATATTCTGAGCAGTCAGGAGTTTGATGAATAAAAAGTCCAATGCAATGGCAAAGGAGTCTTTTTTAATAATTATTAATTTTACTCCACATTTTGAAATATAAGCATGTCTTTTCCTGTGCCAGAGTATTGTTCTGAAAAATATATTCTTGTACAAAGCCTTAATCCCCAGAACATTTTGTATTCAGCTGAAGCTTGCTTTTGCCTTTTACAGGTTCTTAACCAGCGTGACCTACTCGCTTCCATTTGCTCTGATGGCTGCCTGGGTGCTGTTTATAGCTGATTTTGTTAAAACACTTGTTCAGGAGAAAGATCTCAGGCTTTATGAGGTACGGGGAAACTTTCTGGGGCGTGCAGAATTATAAACAGATTTTCCTTATTCGTGGTTGGCGTGTCTGATGTGCAATATTAAATGGAGCAAAACAAGCATTAAGGCAAATATTCCAGCTACCTATTGTTTGACCTGCAGTGTGTGAATTCTGACATTATAACCAAGCTCAAAGCCATGGAAATGCAGGGTGTTTGCCCTTCAAGTGGAGGGAATATTGCTTTGCAGTGCTGAACACAGGAAACATGGGCACCTCACAAAATTACAGGGTTTCTGAAGATTTAAAGCTCTCTAAAAATTGACTTTGAGTCATACCTACTGGGGACAAAGACATGAAAAGTGACTTATTTCCTATCCTTGAAGTTATTATACTTAATATTTCAGAAGGTGCTACATATTACATCAGCTCCTCTGAAATGAAGTTCTTCATTCAGGCTGCCTGTTGGAAAAGAAATGACATTGAGACATTGGGAATTTATTAAATTAACTCAGGTTTTCAGTGTGATCACTGTCAACAGAGATGAACAGCAAAGAACTTTTGTCAAACTAAGCCTCAGCAAGCAACAAAAGCTTTGGGCAGATTTGTTTTTTATCCAACACCATGGAAACAAATACTGATTCACCAAAAGCACTTCCAAGAAAGGACACTGACCTGTGATGAGATGGAAAATGAATGAACCCCAGGGTGTGCTCCCTGGCAGCCCCCTACTCTAATTTAGACAACCATTTTCACTAAGGACCAGGGCATCACTAATCTTTTTAGCTGTGTTATAATCCACAAGAAAACACCAGCACATGTAGTTTCTTCTGGGTTTATCAATACAAATTTGCAGTTTTATGCAAGGGGAATTAATGATCAGCTAATATAAATTAATATGTCTTCCTTCTGACCATAGTAATTTAGCTGTTGTTTTTTTGTCTTGGGGTTGTGTGAGAAAGATCTGGTTTCAAAGACATTTGAGAGCTTTTAGGCTTAAGCCACTGGATCTATTATTATTTAAAAAAACAACCAAAAGGCTTTAGAAAACTTAGAAATCTAAGGCAGAAGCTGCTTTGGAGCCTGTGGGCTGTGACATTTGATCCTTGCAGGTCCTCTCTGGGTTGTTCTTTTCCAACAGACTGCTCTGCAAACTGTGGGCATTCCTGAAATGGGAGTGCAGGGTTTGTCCCTGGATAGAATGAGCGTGGTCTGGTTGCAGGCCCTGTCCAGAAGCTGGAAACAGAAATAATTCTTCATTTCTCTGAAATGTCACTTGTGATTGTTATTTTTACCTTCCTCTGTGCAGTACATGAAGATGATGGGGGTCAATGCCAGCAGCCATTTCATCGCCTGGTTCATCGAGTGCGCCATCTTCCTCCTGATTACCGTCACCTTCCTCATTGTTGTTCTGAAAGTAGGTGACATCCTTCCCAAAACAGACACAGCCCTCCTGTTCCTGTACCTGATGGACTACAGCCTGTCCATCATAGCCATGAGCTACTTCATCAGTGTTTTCTTCAACAACACCAACATCGCTGCCTTGGTGGGCAGCCTGGTCTACATCCTCACCTTCTTCCCCTTCATCGTGCTGCTCGTCATTGAGAACCACCTGAGCTTCTCTGTCAAGAGCCTCCTGGTGAGTTCTGCTTCTCCTTATTCCCAGGCAGTGTGTGGAGGCAGGGAGCTCAGTACATTCCAGCTTTTATTGTACCTCGTGCCTTTCTGAATTCCATCAGCGGGTGGTGACAGGCACGCTAGGACCATGGCCACGCTTGGCCATGGACCTTTTGAAGGACACCTGGAGTTAGCTGTGTCCCCTGACTGAAGGCACTCCTTGTGGAATTTTAGTGAATTCCCACCTGCCAGCTGAATCACAGTAGTTTGAGCTATGTGTTTTCATTGCAAAAGAAAATGAGCTGCTTTCACCCACTCTGAAAAACCAGGCTGTCTCAGTGAGGGGTTTGGGTTTCTCATTGCTGCCTCAGATCATCCCTGGCTTCCTGTGTCTCAAATCCCTACACATGGGAGTAGATGTAAAGCCTTGTTTCTTACCAAGGGGCAGAGTAGGTAGGTGTTAGCTTCCAGAAACCAGACTTGTCGCCGAAATCAGGAAATTACTTCCATTAATGCAAGTGGTAAAAGAATTAACCACATGGCTCCATGAGGTAATTCTCAAGCACTGCTGTATTTCAAAAGCCTAAAATAAAGCCCTGTATGAGGGAGGAAGCTGTGTCCAGGGTGTGGATGCAAAAGAAAGTCAAGCCCTAAGGAGACATTTCAGCCTGTCACCAGGTAGCACTTCCCATCACAGGCCTGCTCCAGTGCTCCTTGTGACTGCTGGGGAAAAAACAAACCCAGCACTCATTTTTCTGGCTATTGGAATAACCCAGTGAGGTACCTGATTGCTTGACTGACCTGACTTCTCTTAGAGACTAATTCAAATGTTTCTTGTTTTCAATTTTGTTTATTCCCCAGAGCCTGTTGTCTCCAACTGCCTTCAGTTATGCAAGTCAATACATTGCTCGCTATGAGGCACAGGGCATAGGTGAGTTTGTGGCTGACAGAGCCAGGCTTTGAGCTCTCCTGGGGGTGGTATTTCACTGGCTGAGAGGAGTTCTGATTGTATTTCTCAATTCCTCCCTGCAGGACTGCAGTGGGACAACATGTACAAGTCCCCAATGATTGGAGACAACACTTCCTTTGGCTGGATGTGCTGGCTCATTCTGATAGACTCCTTCATTTACTTCATCCTGGGCTGGTACATAAGGAATGTTTTCCCAGGTAAGGGTGCAGAGCATTGAGGGTGGTGCTGTAGCACCTCTTTTGGGGAACAGTGAACACAGAGCTGGCTGAGGCAGTGAGACAGGGCACACACTCTGTCCCAGACCAAAGGGAGCACAGCATTGTGGATGTCTGAGCCTGTTAATGGCACTGAGAGAGAGCACAGCTAGGGAAATTAGGGTTTCTCAGCCTGACAATTGGCTAGGTGGGTCTCCTGAAGAAGCTGAAGCCAAGGACACAGGAGGGTGTCACTGCAGTCTGGTGGGTGAGAGTGGAGCATGTTAGACTGCATTTGTCAGCTGAGTGATTTTGAGCTGTGTTACTTACATCATTTGGTTTCAAAAAGTAATTCCTGCCTTGGGCAAGAGCCAGTACATTTGTCTTTTGCTTTTCTTCCCCACCTAATGAAGCAGTCCACTGGCATACGGAAATCTACCCAGTGGAAAATGTAAAGTTCTCCTGCCCTCCAGCTATGGAGTTACTCAGAATAACAAATTAGTGAGTGCTTCCTATTGTGCCAATCAGGAAAGACTCTACAAAGTCCTGGTGGTGCATGAACAAATCAAGAAATCTCTGTGAAGTTAATTTTTGCTGTTTTGAGTGCACCCCACCAGTGGCACTTGCTGAGGAACAGATAGCTGAATGAGACTCCTGTTCCTGCAGGTAGATATGGCATGGCTGCTCCCTGGTACTTCCCACTGCTTCCATCTTACTGGATTGAGTACAACAGCTACCTGCCCTTCTGGAATGAGAAACAGAGATGCCTGCTCTTCTCCAAGCTGATGTTGAGGAAAGAAGTCACCCTCCCCCACAAGATATGTATGTGGATGCTGCAAGGGGTAGCAATAATAACTTGTATTTTGGGTAAACAAAGCCAAATTTGTGAAGGGGCACCATACTCAGAAAACAGCATTGATTGTTATTTTGAAGTACAGGAAGAATTGAAAGCTGGTACTCACATCAGTGGAGATCTGGCCCTTAAATTATATTTGCTCTTCCTATTTGTTGTGGAGAGTCAGTACTGATTTTCACACTCATATTTGTGTGTGTTGTAGTTGGGCAGTTACCTTCCATGCCTGTCTGTCTGTGTAGAAATACACTTTTGTCTGGGCAAGCAAATACAGGTTTCCACTTGGCAAAAGGCACGTGTTCTTCTTTGCTTATCTCTTTAAATATTTAGCCTGTAAAATATTGAGATCACACATAAAATGTTGCTGGTTCCACCTAACTGAAAATAACTCTGTATTTTTGCCTCATGTCCTCTAACTTTCTGTGCTTGTTTAGTATAAATTAAGTTAGGTGCTCTGAAAAACCTAAATATGAGATCTTTCCAGAAGTGATTAATGCCTGTTGTCAGGAGTTGTTAGAAGCTTCAGAAGTAGAAAGGAAAAATCCCAGAGAGTTCAAAATGATACACATCTGGTGGCATGTTCTCAGTGTTCCTGGCTGAAAGACACCTGCTTTTCTGTATTTTGGTTTGCTCTGAGATGAGAAAAGTAGCACAAGCACTGCAGTAGCTGTCCCTGACCCTTCTCTTTGGTGTCCAAGGTGCCCCCCACCCTCACGTGGAACCAGAGCCCACCGACCTGCCCTTGGGAGTCTCCCTCCACAGCATAACAAAGGTTTATGGATCCAAAGCTGCAGTGGACAACCTCAGCCTCAACTTCTATGAAGGGAATATCACTTCCCTGCTGGGACACAATGGAGCTGGGAAAACTACAACCATGTGTGTATCCTTTAAAGCAGCTCTTTTTTCGCCTGTGGGGTGTGGTTGGGTCAGCAAGAGGGCAAGTGCAGCAGTGGGAGACTGAGGAAGGTGCTTCACTAGGCCAAATCCCTCCTGTAGCTTCACCTTGCTCATGGATGACCTCAGGAGTTCCTTCATCTGTCAGAATTCTTTAGGTTCTAAAAGGTCCTTTCCTGCTTAGGAACATGCTTTTTAATCTGCTGAGATAGCTGGGATACACAGCACAGCAGCTGTTCAGGGGTTTTGTTCCATGGCCTGGGGTTAGGTTGTTCTGGAACCCGTGGGGAGCTCATGCACACACCAAAGCTGAAGTGATGCCAGCAAGAAAACTTAATAAAGATACACTTCAGCTGTACAGAGCCATGTGTTGGCTGGGCTGGAATGGCAGGGGATTAATGCATTGGCCTTTCAGCCTTGCTGTTTATAAATTATTATTTGACTTGTTAGATAACAGCACTAAAACAGGCCTGTAGAACTTGATTTCTCCACTGATATATATGTGCATATCTCTGAAAGGAACATTAACCTGATAAATAGAAGCCTCAGAAGAGCCAAAATCAGTAAGACAGATGTGTGCTTCACCTCAGCTTATTATCAATTCACCTCATATTCTGTTTGCAAAGTGTAGCAAAGGTGATATGCAGAAAAGTATAAAACCTTCCTGAAACTTACCAGAGGCTTCAAATCCTGAATAAGGTCACAAATTACTGCTTTTAAATGATGGTTTAAAGTCCCAGGAGAGAAGAAAAACTCTGTGAAGGTGAAGGGTGGTCTGAGATGCATCTTCTCCCTCTAGTCCCTGCAGGACAGCACCAAAAATGAGCTGTAATGTGCAAGTAGTTATTCTGAGCAGAGGGAGTTTGACTCAGCTCCTGCTTGGTGGGTGATTATTTGCTTGAAGTAGATGAAAGTGCTGCCCACTGTGAGGTGTCTCATGGAGAAGTCCTCTCCCATTTCTCATGAATAATGGCAGTGAAATCAGGTCTGCATGCTCTGCTGGGATTAGGCAGATGAAGAGGAGGTTTTCAGTCCCAGCTGTGGTTACAATATGAGGCCCTGTGGGCACTCCAGGAAATCCTCAGAGAACAAGGAGTCACTGCATTCTGGGAATTCCCAGTAACTAAACTGGAAGTCAAGGGCATTCCTGAGTGTGAGGGATATGGGTCTGAGCTAGGGAGAGGGAGGCTGCAGCAGGTAAAAGCAGAGGGGAGGAGTATCCAGGGTGAGCTTGGAGCTTGGCCCTGCAATCCCTCAGAGGGGAACAAGGATGTTAATTTACCTCTGCTCTGCCAGAGCCTGGCACACAGTGGGCAGTGGTGTCTGGCTGGAAGGAGTGGGAGGGGACACAAAAAAACCTTGGAAGTGGTGACAGCTACAAAGCCGCATGAAAAAAATTACCCATGGCTTCCTCCTTTTTCTAACTTCTCCTTTCTATTTCTTTTTCCTTCAGATCTATTTTGACTGGGTTGTTCCCTACATCATCTGGCACAATCTTTGTGTATGGCAAAGACATCAGGACTGACCAGGAGGTGATCAGGAAGAACATGGGAGTGTGCATGCAGCACAACGTGCTCTTCAACTACCTCACCACCAAGGAGCACCTGCTGCTCTATGGCTACATCAAAGTCCCTCACTGCAGCAAACAAGAGCTCTACCAAGAAGTGAAGAGGTAGAAAAGTAGCAGGAATGGGGGGGAGGAGGGAGAGAGGGCTGTCAAAATAGTTGTGTGGTGGTGCCAGTGGCCCTGCAAAGCTCAAAATCCTGGATTGGAGGTCTTGTTGCAGCACCAGCTTAGGGTTCAAATGGTGCCTCGCTCTGACTAGAGGAATATATTGATACCTGTGCTGTAAGAAAACAATATCTCTTCTCCAGGGGGTTTACAGGCTGCTGTGGCAATTATTTGGAGATGAATTTATAGGCCTAAGGGGCTACTCCTTGCTGCTTTACAGTTTGCCCTGGGAAGAGATTTAATCAACCAGTCAGAAAGATGATGTTGGCTTTATTGGTTCTGCAGAGAAATGAAGCAGCCAGAACATCCCAGGGAGTTTGGATCTTGGTGTCTCAGTTGATGGGGTTGAGCCTTTAACCTTGACTTGTCAGATGAAAACTTTGAAAACATCCTCAAAAATGTTTTAAATGAAAATCCCAGTGACTGAGCTGCAGGGTGACTCTACACTGTGACCACTCAGCAGAGCAGGATTTCATTTCCAGTTACAGTTTTTTCAGCTATTTTCAGATTCCCTGCTTAAAGGACAACTTTTGGGAGTTTTCCCTCTGTTTTGCAGGACTTTGAAGGAGACTGGGCTGTACAGCCATCGACACAAGCTGGCTGGCACCCTGTCAGGGGGGATGAAGAGGAAGTTATCCATAGCCATTGCTCTGCTGGGAGGATCCAGGGTGGTGATCCTGGATGAGCCAACCACGGGCGTGGATCCGTGCTCCCGGAGGAGTATTTGGGAAATCATCTCCAAGAACAAAAAAGGTACTGTGAGGAGAGGAAATGTTGCCCAGAGACAAAGGTGATGTGTGTCACTTTACAAAGATGCTACCAGTGGATTTGAATTGTGGGTTTTGGAGGCCAGAGAGAAAAAAATTTGGAAGACTGGGATTTTGCAATTCTGGAGGGTCCATCCTGGTTGGTTTCTGTAAATTCACTGTCATTTAAAAAATAACTTCACCATAGAATACAACTTACAATACTGTAAAATTTGTCTCTCTTGTTGTCTTTCATCCAATTTCATTAATAATTGCCCAAAAATGTAGTTGATTTTCACCTGATACTCTGTGTTCCCTCATCCAATGAGGCTTTCAGCTGTCTCACTGTTGAGATAAGGACAGATCTGACCAGAATGTGATAAAACAAAATTGTTATAAACATTCATTGTGTTCATTTAACAATGTGGACTTTCCATGGTCTGATCCAGAGCAAGGGGAAGCTCTGAAACCTCTACAATTTATATTGATGATATCATTGTGTAGGGAAATACAGAAATTTTTGAGGAAGGAAAGAAAATAACCCAAATCCTTCTAAAATCCAGTTTTGCCATAAGACCAGGTGTCCATTCTGTGGTGACTGTGTTTTCCAGGCAGAACCATCATTCTCTCCACACATCACCTGGATGAAGCAGAAGTGCTGAGCGACCGGATTGCCTTCCTAGAGCATGGAGGGCTCAAATGCTGTGGCTCACCTTTCTACCTGAAGGAAACCTTTGGGGATGGCTACCACCTGACCCTCACCAAAAAGAAGGTTTGGTGTCTGAGCTGGTCCCTGAGCTCCTGGCAGCTCTGTGTCCAAGGGAGTCATCAGGGCTGGTGGAGGGATGTATGGAGAGGAGCTGAGTGATCTCCATGGCCTTGTGAAAGCAGCAATGTCAGGGCTCTGCTTTGGTGAAAAAGAACAGGGTTTCCTTGAAGGTTAAAAGCAAGGGTGCAGAATGTGAGGAATAAAGCAGATGGAAAGAGCCCATCCATAGTGTTTGGCTTGGGCAAAGTGTTCTACTTGCAAGGAGTGGGGAACTCTACTCTTGCTAGCATTTATTGCAGTGCTGTTGGTAGCCCCAGCACCATGAGAGACCAGCCCCTCTTCCAGACTGCTGGCACTGGAGACAAAGAAAGTAAAAACAGACCCATAAGCAAGCCCTGTTTCCCATGGGAAAAAGAGTGAGTTTGGGCTGGCAGCCACGTTAAGGTCTCTGCTGGCCAGGCTTTTTCTCTTTTGTACTACAAACTTCTAGCACTGCAAAGTAGTTGATTCAGCCCAGCCTGCTGAGGTTATGGATGGACCAAGATGGGAGACTGTCACACATCCCTTTTTCAAGGGCCAGAAATAACCCACTTTCACCTGCTTTTGATATTTATCCTGTTGGATAGCTGGACTGAGATCACTTACCAGTTATGCTCTGGGACAGGATTTGGGCTACATCCTGCAGGAGAAAGGTTGACCTTGCAACCTTTCAGTGACCAGAGTGTTTTCCTCTTTTTTCAGAACATGATAGAGGAATGTGACACCACAGCAGTGACCTCCTTGATCCAGTCCTATCTCCCAGAGGCTTATCTCAAGGAGGACATTGGTGGAGAGCTGGTTTATGTGCTTCCCCCCTTCAAGTCCACGGTGTCAGGAGCCTACCAGGCCCTCCTCAGAGCCCTGGACACCAGCCTGAATGATCTCCACCTGGGTTGCTATGGGATTTCCAACACAACTGTGGAAGAGGTATGAGCTCAGGAGCTGCTGGCTTTGCTGGAATATCATGGAGATTTATTTCCCAGCAATGTGTGGCTCTGCTCTCTGGGCACGTTAGGAATTCCATGAGGGATTCAGGCAGGGAGGAAGGGGTTACACTGAGGTACACATGAGTGTGTGGATGCATCTATAAATCTATATATATACTAATGCACTGTCTCACCTGGCTGTGACAGCCTTTTGATGTTTTACCCAGAAAATGAGGCTCTGGAGTTTGACTGAGGAGAAATTAACACAGGCACCTTTCTGCCCGTGGGAAATCTCTGGTCAAATAAACACATTTAATTGCATCAGAAATAAAAAGTAAATGATGAGCAGTGATGACCCGTGTCTTGCAGAGGGGAGGGAGGGAGATTGTTACCTTCCTGCTCAGAATTTCTTAGTTTCTTTTGAGATGTTTTCCTAAAGCAGCAAGAATCAGGTGTACATTGTGTCCCATGCGCCATGACTGCACACTCCCAGCATGGAGGCAGTGGGATTGCCAGGAGCTAGAGGGTGAATGTCCCAGGGAAACAGGTTTGACTTTCCACTGCTGCAGCAGAACAGGGACAGGAGATGACAAGGAGTTGGGCAACAATTTTATATGGAAAAAAAAGTTAATTTCTCTCACTGAGCACAAAGGCAATAGGAAGAGGATTATTGTACATAACTGCTGCACCAACTACAGCTACAAAGCAGGAGAGTGGATTCTGGTAATTGTTTTGGTAAATGGAGTCATTTGGACAAATTTTCCTTCATATTTTCTTGCTCCATAGGTGTTCCTGAATCTGACAAAAGAGCTGGTGAAGGACCAGCAAGAAGAGGCTGTGCTGCCCCATCAGCTGCCTGGAGTCAGTGGTCACACTGGTGGTGACGAAATGTCTGTGAGCACAGACACCTTCACAGAAAGAGATGGTACTCAGTCACCTAAGGGTTTATTCCAGATTTACTGCACATGCAAACACTGACAGATGGACTGATTTGAGCTCCCTGTCTTCTTTCTTTGTTGAAAGCCACATTTCACCCAGCCAGGAATCACAAAACTTATAAATCACTGGAAGTACAGCACTCACCAGTCCTTTAGATCCCCTGCTTTGGAATAGTCTGAATCACAGGATAAATTACTAAAGGGGTTTTGTTTGCATCTGCTTTCCTTTACATTGATCCAGGTTTTAATCTAATCAATACAGCATGTGGGTGAAAGAGTAAATGTGTACCTCTGAAAGTAATTGCTGTAATAGATGTAGAGGATTATTTCCCCATAACTAGTAGAATTGGAAAGAAACTTAGTGGAAATCCTTTAGTCTGTTGGAAAAGCAGCACAGCTCTGAGCTGAGTCCTCCTTGCTGCTTTTTGCTGTGCCCCAGACATTGCAGTTTAGCAAAGGGGCCTAAGGGAGCAGACAGTGGGGTAAATTCAGAAGAGAACCAAGCTACACCACTGTCCATGGGGGTCTGAGACCTCCTAAAGGTGGCCCAACCCAAAAATGAGACATACCTGGCTGCAAGGCTTTCTTGGGCTAGAAACACTGTTTTGTACTTATAAATATACCATTTATAGTCAGGAAAGCATCCAAGGAACAACACAGAGGTATTTTTGTCCTTCTCAGAGCTGACCTGCACTGTAAATGTTACTGTAAACAGTCACTCATGTAGAAAAGTGTTTTGTTTCACCCTTAAAAAAGGCTGAAAAGTATTTGCTTCATGGTATATTATACAGGTTAATATTTCATAGAGAAGAATAGCTGGCGCAGGATTTGGCTCTGTTTTTAGTATACCACAAAACCTGTCTATGCAGGAGGCCCAGTGGCTTTTCTTGTTTTCTTATTTCAGGTCTAATTCTATTACTTATTTTTCTGAGGATCTGCTTTTTAAATTATGAAAAATTTCAGCTTGCAAATCTAAAAGAAAAATATGTTTTGCCTGAAAGTTGAAGTGAGTGGGTTGGATGTAGATAACTTATTTCATCTGGAAGCCTGTGTTCCTCTTGCAAGGTCTCACACTGAAGGTCACTACATGTACACATTTAAAATTTAACAAAATACTGGTGTTATATGAGCTTATGACTGGAGCCCTGTCCCACACCTGATCTTGTGTTTGCTCCACCTTGATAGTTTGGATTTGCTGTCTGTAAAAGTGTACAGGAAGTGAAACACCCTCCCAGAGTGCTCTACCCATCACTTCCTTGCCTTGTACAAATGCAGAGCCATGACCCAGTGCCATCCTTTGTGCCCAGACCAGCTCCTGATCAGGTCCAAGAGCCTGCGGGGTTTGCCGCTGCTGCTGAAGAGAACCTCAGCGCTGTTCATCAAGAGGTTCCACCACACCCGGCGGGACGTGCGCGGCTTCATCGCCCAGGTCATCCTCCCCGTGCTCTTTGTGATGGCTGCCATGGGCCTGGGGACACTGAGGACCAAGGAGACCGAGTACCCTGAGCTGCCTCTGTCCCCCTCCCTGTATGGCACAGCTGACCAGGTGGACTTCTTTGGGTGAGTGCTGCTCCTCAGGACCTTGTGAGGCCTTGGGAAGGCTGACCTAGAACAGAGAGCAAAGAAAGAGTTGAAAGATAAAGTAGAAATTCATAAAAAGGTCTCAATGAATCCACCTTGGGCAGTGCAAGAGCCCAGCCAGGGCTACACCCAAGATGGACCCAAAATGATCACAAAATGGACAACTGGTCACAGAGTCTCTCACTTTTATCAGTTCTGCTCCATTTGCATATTGGAGTTAATTGTCCAATTATAGATTTAGCCCATGCAGTCCCATCCTCCTTGTTTTTCTTCTTCAGTACACTGTTGTTTGTGCTCTTGGGCCTGAGATTTGGATCATTTGTCCTTGGTCCCCAGCTAGAGAAGGAATTGTTTTGTCTCCCTACTCTCTGAAGAGAGCTCACCATCCCTTTATATAAAGCTCAGAACTACACACTTAAAGCACACTTAAGCACACTTAAAGAGTATATCTGAAAAATATAAAAGCTAAAACCAGAGACATCAGTTCAGAATGAGCTCTTCAGGGTTATTTCTGAGCACAGCCAGTGTCCTACACATAGGACACGTGGTTATGTTGTGCAGACAACACAGAGAAACCCTGTTCCCAAGGGATCTTTGAGGACATGGCTTGGCTCAGACCAGAAAGCTTCAGAAAAACAACTTCTCAATTGGATTTAACTATGAAATGTCTGAGAAATGTTCTTGGTGTTTCCCACTGGAGTGTTTCAGCCCCATAGCAGCCAAAGGGATTTTCTTAAGGTATACATGCATGCTCCTCCCCCAGTGGGAAATGAGGTACCCAGATCGGTTGCTTCCAACACTACAATTCTGAGATCAAATTCTATTCATCTTGTGAACATTTCCCTCCTCTCTGTTAGCACAGGATGTTCTTTCCTGGGCAGGCCCTGCTGGTCCAAGGCACACAGGCAATTGGAAGAGCATGTGCTTTTCCAGGGTCGTTAGGATGCCACCACTGAATTATGTCATTCTCCTTAAAAATCCTGTTACCAAAACAACTATAATTGGTATCATTTGATTTTCATGCTGTGAACCTCTTTCCTTCTCCAGTAGTTCTCAGCTCTAAGTCAGAAATACAAAATTTATCTCTAAAGCCACCTGCTGTAGGTGTTCTTCCCAGGATTCCTCACACCTTCCCACTCTAGTCCTGCTGGATGGGGGAATGAGCCAGAGTTGCATGTCTGAGTCCTCTGTTCCTAATATTCCCTGCTTCTCCTTTTGGATCATTGCTGGAGAGCTGGGGCAGAACCAAGGACAATCATCTTGAATGGTCCAAACCAAGTGGATGTCACAGATGAGAGACCTGATTGAGTCAGGGCTGCAAGCAGTGCCTGGAAATTGGAGTAGATTCCCCCCCCCCGCAGTAAAGAAAAATTTGATTGTCCAAAAGTATCTTGCTTAGATCTAGAGGCAGCAAATCCCTGGAGTGGCTGAGGTGATGAGGGCTCCTTTTAAAGCTGTGTGACTGTCCTCACGTACTGCATGTCCTTCAGAGCTGCTTCCACAAATACTCAATTATTCAACACCTTAAATCCTGTTTCATTCAAACACAGTTTTTCTCTTCACAGTGGTAGTGGAAATTCTTTGAACCTTCTCCTGTTTTCTGTTTTTCTTTGTTAATTCTTAGGAATTTTAATGAAACCACAGCTGCTTTAGTTTCTTCAATGCTGGCTTTCCCTGGGACGGATAACACGTGCATGAACGAAAGCAATTCGTAAGTATTGGGGTTTTTTCCACCTAAACTCCAAACCTGCAAGAGAATTGCCATGACACTATTAGCCATTAGACCTTAATAACCATCTTTGATCATGGGCAGAATCCTCATGCATTGGACTTCTGCATTATGAGGAGTGATAAGGAAGCAGCTTTGGTGGTGGCAGGAAGCCAGGAGGAAAATGAGCAATTCTCCTCTCTGGGAAGTGGTCCTTGCCGCCCCAATAATTCCAATTATAACGTGAGCCCACGCAGCAAGTCCTCAGCACAGGGTTTGTTACCTCTATCTAGAAGCTGTGCCATGAGAGCTGGTTTGTTTTGGGCTTTGCAGATAAATTCTCAGGATGGTAAAGCCCTGAGCAGACTTGAATGCTCGTGCAGGCAAATATTTACCCTGGGTGTTTGCAGTGACTGCCCAGGCAATACAGCCCATCACAGGAGTGCCCAGGGATTGCCACAACAATAGCCCTTATTTCTGGGCAGGTTTCAGATGCTTTTGGCCTCTGAGTGCCAATTCCTTGCACTGCCTACTGTAGGAATGAAGCAGTGCCTGGATTCCATCTGATAGCTGAGCGAATCCAGGCACAGGGAGGGCTCTCTGCCAAGGGGCACAGGAGGCAGCAGCAGGCTGGGGATTCCCTGAACCACCCAGAGCTGACAGGAAGCTCTGCATTTCTGCTGGAGCTGCCCAACTGCCAGCCTTGCTGTCATTAAACATGACAGCAATTAGCTTCATTTGCACACCTGAGCCCAGAGAGCCTCAGAGGAAAATGTGTTCCTTTTCAGGCAGTGCTTAACAGAGGACAAGCTTGGCCAGTGGATTACCAGTGGAAACCAGAGAACTAAATATTCTGCCTGCAACTGCACAGATGGCATCCAGGTAACTTGGATAAACCCAGAAGTGAAGGGGCTTGGGGGATAATTGGGGGCCTTGTTTGTTGGGAGGGGTTTTATGGGCTGGGGCTCAGCATTCCAAGCCCTCCTGTCTCTCTTTGGCCTTGTTGAATTTGCACACTGGATAGCCACTGTCTCCACCAGTCTGGGGACAGGAAGGGAGACAGCATCCTCAGAATATTCACACCCTAACATCCTTGGGAGAAGGTTTAGTGGTGTTTTTGAGTGTTGTGTGATTGTCCCTTTTGACAGAGATGAGCATGTATTCAAGAGGAAGATTTTATCTTATACAAACACTGTCAGTGTATAAAATCACAGCTACTTTTGCTGCTTGCTCCTCAGAATTTAACTTTATGCAAAGTCTAGATCTGCTCCTTGTTCTAAAAATTAATTATTAATAATAATAATTTGCATTACAGTGGTACCTACAGAGCCAGATATGGGCACTGCTGGGATTTGCATGCACATGGGGAAAAGGCAGATCCTGCCCCAAGGATGTTACAGTTTTGCAGTATAGTTTGGGGTTAAGCTTTCCTTCCAGCTCTGCTCATCTGTCTTCAGCTTTTTGCCATAGCAGATAAACTCATGGCACCATGTGATGCCTTTTAACATAAAGGATGTACTTAGCTGAACGTTTCTAGTCATTCTTTAAAATGCAGCAGCTATTTTGTGCAGTTTTCTGGACATACACCTAATTTCACATCATTAAAAGTATTGCCATGATTTCTCCAGCAAGTTGGGATAATGTTCAAAGCTGATTCTCACCTCTAGCAGGCACAGGCAGGTGTTCCTCAGCATGGAGGAAGCTATTTTGTGTATTCAGATGAGCAGATGCACAATGGGGGAGTCCAGGGCTTTTGTTATGGATGAGCTGAAGGAAGAAGCCAACATGCTGTCTGGGAGGACACTTCAACCTCATGAAACACTGATGTGACTTTGGCCCTCAGCATGTGAAATTATATATTCAGGACTAATTCAAGGTTTCTCTGAAGCCCAGGAAAACATTTGCAGTGACTGACAGTAAAGCAGAAATGTAGAGTGTAGCTTCTGAGAAATGGAATTTGAGAGTTTGAGGCCACCACAGAGTTTTCTGCTCTGTGAGTTGTTTTGCCTTCTGCAGTTTTCTGTGCAGTCACTCTGCTAAGTGGGATCAGCCTTAATTCAGCCAGAATCTTCCTCCATAACATGAAGCACATTTCAAGGCCCCACTGATGCCAGGAGAGCTGAAGGATAGATTTAAGCAGAGGTTGTTTTTAAGCAGCTCCCTGAATGTTGGGGCCAGTGTGCAGGGATGTGTGCTGTGTGTCCCTGCACTCTGGCTTGGGAAGGAGCAGAAATGCTGCCATGGCAGGCTCTCAATCTTGTCTTCATGTGGTGGGTTTTAGTTAAAACACAAACACTGAAGTTTTTTCTTTGTTTGTCTCCCCTCAGACTTGTCCACAGACAAACTACACTCCCCCTCACAGAAGGACCTTCTCCACACGGACCCTTTACAACGTGACAGGGCACAATGTGGAGAGCTACATCCTGGCAACCACCAAAGATTTCCTGCAGAAAAGGTACAAACCCCTTCCTCTGTGCTGAAAGGCACTGGGAGCAAGGCAGGACATCCCACATCCCCTCTGCATGAAAAGGTGGCAGGGCAGTGGGGGTTTGGAGTCTGCTGAAAGGAGCTGAAGTGTCTTGCAATCATGCATAAAATAAAAAAAAAAATTAAAAAAAAAATTAAAAAAGAAAAAATAAGATAAAAAAAGAAATAAAATAAAATTAAAAAGAAAAAATAAAATAAAAAAGATAAAAAAAATAAAATAAAAAAGATTAAGGCTCGTGCAAGTGTTCTGCTTGACACAGCAGATCATAGCCTGGGGATAACGTGTCAATCAGCTGACATGTTGGGGCTGCATCTGCAGACAAGCCTTTTTTGTCTGACTCAAATCTTTAAAAAGAGGAAAATCTCATACAGCCTGTCATGAAGTAAACCCTGGGGAGAGATTTTCCTCCAGATTTGACTCTCTGAAGAGTCTCAGTGAGAGCTTCACTTGGAGGAGTGCATCCATTGCAGTGAGAGCAGAGTCTGAGCATTTCCGTCTGCTGTGGGGTGGCTCTGGGGACAGAGGTCACCTGCCACTAAAGCTGGCAGGAAATGTGTCCATCTGCCACTGACAAACTGAGCTGCTCATCTGCTGGGTCAGAAGCAGCATCTCACCCCAGAGTGGCAGGCACACAGCTCAGGACTCCACTGGGCTCCAGGATCTGCCTCAAAAGAGGCTTTCAGCACCTTTGTGACAAGTTTGCCAAGCTTCTGGGGTTTTTTCCCCAAAGAAAGGCTCCCAGGGGAGAGGTGGCTTGGCTCCACACTGGGATAAGCTCTCTGAAGTCAGGCTGCAGTGGCACATTGGCATGGCCCATCCAAGGCAATCAGGGCTTTGGGATGAGGGCAGTGATGCATTTCCCTCTGGTTTTCTCTCAGGTATGGTGGCTGGAGCTTTGGGCTGCCTTTGACACCAGATCTGCAGTTTGACATCAAGCCAGTGCCCCCCAACAGAACACTGACTAAGGTAACCAACCCCCACCTGCTCATCCTGGCATGGGAAGGGTGGGACTCAGGAGAAGGAATCTCAAGTTCATGGATATTCCAAAAAAAAAGGCAAAACCCTCTGAAATCCGCAGCTTGGCATGACAAAGATGACTTGCAGTTCATTTTCTTTTCTCTCCCCATTCTTCTTTTTTGGTCTCACTTCTCTTGCTAGCAGGAGGCAATTTTTCTGCTGTCATAATTTTATTACACAGAGGTGAAAAGATCAATTAGTAACACTTTTATCTCATGAGGGGATGTATGTACCATAACAAGGGCTGGCTGGTGCATTCTGATATGCCCATTTCTCTGGTTCAGCTCAGTGAAAATGTTGTAAAACACCAGGGTTAAAATTTGAGGTAGTTTGCACAAGTGAAGCAGGACAAACCAACATGTTGTCAGTAATAACTCCCAAATTGTTTCAATTTCTCAATTGTGTGCAGGTGTGGTACAATCCTGAGGGTTATCACAGCCTCCCAGCCTATCTCAACAGCTTGAACAATTTCATTCTTCGAGCCAACTTGCCAAAAAATGAGACTTCCAGATATGGTAAGTGTTCCTTTACAGGAGCAGATGACTTCTCCCCTTTGGAGGGATATCCTGCTTCTGCTGAAACCAATTCCAACACTTACCTTGGCTTCAGTGGGGCCTTTTCTTTATTCACTGTTCTGCAATTCCTTTTAAAACAGAATTCATGAGCATGAATAAATCACAAAGTTCATTTGTCTTAGTCAGAGGCTCAGGGGAGCTGGACAGGGAGCCCCAGCTCCTACGTAAAACCCTTCATCTGAGACATGGCAGCAGTTCCTGATTGATTTATTGCCTCTCATGGGCCACTGCCAGGGCTGTCTCTGATAGGTGCCCATGAGTTATGCACAGAAAAGTTCCTCTAGGTCATCTCCAGGGGTGGATTAGGAAATTTTAGAAAATTAGATTAGGGAATTTGAATATGTCACCCTTGTGCTGAGAGCAGCCCAGGGTGAGTGGGCATCTGTGTTTGGGTTTGAGTGAGAGTGGGGAGGGAGAGATTAAAGGAGAAACAGAATTTCCAGCTGTGTTTTTCCTCTGACACCTGACATACACAGATCCAAGGAGAGCTGATGGCCCATCTGGGCTCCTCATAGCTTCTCCTCCACAGCACACTGCAGCAACCCAAATTCCTGCTGGTGAACCAGGAAGGTGGCACTGGTGTGTGCTCATTCAGGGCAGTCCCTTTTTGTTCTCCTCTCCATGAGGACAAATGACAGGAGACACACTGCATGGATCCTTTTGGGTCAGGTTCTGGTACACAGCAAGGGGAACTTCAGGCTGGGGATGATCCTGGATGGGCCTTTGACTTTTAGATTAATGATACCGTGGTCCAATAGGTTTGAACATTTGCCTTTCCCTTTGCAGTTTAGCACCTTTCAATGTGCAGTGTGGGCACAATCCTGTCTGCAGGTGTGTCTGCCTCCAGAGAGGGCCAGGGTGCAGAGACAAGAGAGAGATTTATCTTGCACAGAGATTAGTGGGCTCTGCTCAGCAATTGTGTGCAGAAACCCTTTCCTGATTGACTTTCTTGGAGCAGCAGTGCCCTTCCAGCCACATCCTGGCCAGGCCCAGCCCTGCTCCCCTCAGAGGGCTGCTGTCCCTGGTGACACAGGCACAGGTGGCAGTGTCTCTTGGCTCACAGGACATGTCTGAATTGAGCTGTGATGGATCCAGGCACCTGGCCTGGAGCTTTGAGTGTGACACCGTGAATTCCAGCAGCAGATGCTGATCTTCCCAGTGAGACTGAGACTCCCTCCCAGCCAGCTCAGCTCACAGGGAGTGACACAGAGCCTTGTGCTGGCTGTCCCCTCTGGGCTTTGCAGTGTGCCCTCAGCTCACACATCACAGAGCTGCCAGAGAAGAGACCCCAGCCAGGCACTGGCAGCAGCAGCAGCAACATCCCAGAGCAGCTGAATTATTAAGCAGTGAAGCTCCTTGCTCTGTCTCTCTATTCCCAACACATGCTGTGTTGGGAAAGAGCAAAGAGCAAAGGCAGGAAGCTCTTGTGAACAGCCAGAAAGTTCTCACAGGGAAAGTTTTCTACCAGCAAAATAGCAATTTTCTGGGTGAAAGAATAGCAGCAGGTTTTGTTCCATCTGTCCTGCTGCTTAGGTGTTTTTGGAAAGAAATACTTAGTAATAAATGATCAGACAGACAATTCTGTGCTTCCCACTAATCATCCAAGCCAGAGAAAGGGGGAAATAAAATGAGTGGATGAGGCTGGTTCCCCTGAGGAGGAGTAAATCCAGACTGAAACACAACTGAAGGCACGTTCTGTGGGGTGTGCTCCTGGCAGCTCAATGGAGTTGTTGTTGTGACAAATAAATGATGGTTTAAGAGCCATTGAAATGGCCAGATAAAAGTGTGTTTTCACTTCAGCAGTCAGAAAGAGGTGCCAGTCCTGCTTTAGAGGTTTGACTTAGACTGGGTATATTTAAAAAAAAATACATAAAAAGCTTTTTACCCTGTCACTAAGCAAGTCATAATAGCTTTTGACTTCTGTATATTGTGCTTTCTCTTCTCTCAATCCCAGCTAACAAAAAAGGAGGAAGCATTGAAATGGAAATTTTGACTTCTAGCCTAAGCTGCAGTAAAGGAAAATGGCTTTATAGTGAAGTATTAACAGATTAGACAGACAGTATCTTTCTTTCTCTCTCTCCTTTTGGAGAAGGGAAACATTTCCTGGCTGTTTGTATGGCTTTATCAGCAGTCCAGGATTTTAATCCCATTTCTCTCACTGATGACAAGACTGAGGTTTGGTCAGGTTTTGGGTTTTTTTTTTCCTCCAAAATTAATTTCTGATTAAATCCTCCCTTTCAAATTCATTTGCTCAGTATGGCATTTGGTCAGCTAAACCCTCAGGCTCCTCCCTTCTGGTCCCCCCTGTCAGAGTGCCCATTCTTAGGGAAAATTACCCAGAATAATTCTTCATCACATCATTCCTAAGGTCTGCCACCTGGCTGTGAGGAGCTTCAATTCCACAAGTGGCATGGTATAGAAAATCTCTGGATTTAAGAGCAGCTGGAGGTCCCCCAGCACTCCCTGAGGCATTTTCTTAGATGTCAAAATACAAATTGAGAGCCTCATTTTTAGCACATAAACATGGGAGCCCTTTCTCAGGCTCTGGAGCCTTAGAGACTGGGCTGCCCTGCTGGTGGGGCCAAGGCAGAGACCTGCACTGGAGGGTGGGACTGGCCCACCAGAGCCTCTCCATGCTCTGCCTTTTGCTTTTGTGGGCACAAAATGCCTCCAGACATGGCAGAAGCACTGTGGTGAGCAATACTAGTGAGTTTTGGGCTAGGAGAAGGAGTGCTTAAACCTCATCTGAAGATATCTGCACATAAGCAGGGAATTTCTCATTTGGAGTTTGAATTTCTCAGAGAATTTCTCAGTTGCAGTTTGGGCCAGATACAACCCCATTTAAAATGGATTTTTTTGGAAAACATCACAGGGACAGTGTGATAATTAAATTTTTGCTAGTAACTTTGATCAAAATACTCTTTATTTTATTTTTTTTTCCTAGCTTTTTAAGACAGAACAGTTCAGAATTAACTCACTGCCACACTAGGGGCAAAAGTAGCTTGCCTGGGTTTCTGCTCTCACCTCCAGAGATCCCATATGGAGAAAGACATCTATGACAGGCAGGTAGCAGTTGTGGAGGAGGGCAGCAGGGAAGGGATTGTTCCTGGTGATAAAGGAACAAATGGAACCAGGTGGGATCAGCAGACAGCAGCTCTGAAGCAGAACACATCCCTCAGTTTGGAAGGTGGCAGTGCTGAGAGCTCTGAGCTGGAATGCACAATCAGCCCCACAGTGCCTGACTGGAGTGTGGGGAGGGAATGGGGCTGGCAGCCACACAGCTGGAGGAACAGGACCCAGGTTTGAATTTCAGATCTGCTCTGCAGCCAAGTGAAATCCAGGAAAAAGGAGGAGGCTCAAAAGAGGAGGCTCAGAATCCTGCCCAAGATCACACAGGGATGACAGAGCAGGAACACGCTTTTGATCTGCTTTTCTTCTCTTTTCTCTCAGTTTTCTTTATTGTTGTCAATATCAGGAGCTGGTGAAGGAAGCTTTAATTTGGACACATTTTCAATTTCATTTTTTCCTCCCATAGGTATTTTCCTATCAGCTCACCCATATCCTGGAGGACAGAGTCAAGAACAAGTAATGTAAGAAGATTCATTTGGCTGATGCCTGAATTTTTTTAGCTTTAAAAGGAGCAAACCACTTATTGCAAACCATAAACCAGCCTAAATTATTGGATACCTTCCTCTAAGTGATGAAACTGCTCTCACTTGTGTTCATTCCCCTGTTCATGAATAGTGTCCTACTTGCCACCAGAGCTGGGGATTCCTGTGGGGGTTTTTGTGGCAGGATCTTATGGAGATCTGGAGGTCACAGATACAGCCTCACACATTTGTGTGCTTGGGCATATAAATAAATAAAAAAAAAAAGATGATGATGATGATGATAATAATAATAATAATAATAATGGTGACATAATTTTCTTTTTGGCCCTTCCACTCCATGCTGGGGTCCAGCACTCCAGCTCAGTCCTCTGAGTCCCTTTTGCTGGAAATCATTGCCATCAGCACAGGGAGCAAAGAAAGGAGGAGGTTTTCCTCTGTGAGGCTGGTGAGGCCATCCCTGGAAGTGTCCAAGGCCAGTCTGGACAGGCTTGGAGCACCCTGGGATAGTGAAACGTGTCCCTGTTCATGGCAGGGGATGGAATGGGATGAGCTTTGAGATCCCTTCCAGCCCCAAACCATTCCAGGATTACAAATGATCTGTCCCAGAATCAGGACCTTATTCCTTCTGAGCTTCAACAGTGAGGGAAATCTGTCACTTTCACTCACCAAATTCATCTTTCTCCCCTTTTTTCCCAGGCTAAACAGCTTATTGGACATCATAGTGTCCATGTCTGTTTTGGTGGGCTACTCCATCACCACAGCAAGCTTTGTGCTCTACATGGTCAAGGAGCACCAAACCAAAGCCAAGCAGCTGCAGCACATTTCAGGCATTGGGATGACAACCTACTGGGTGACCAACTTGGTTTATGATCTGGTAAATAATTCACATTCCTAAATGCACCAGGGGGAGCATTACACACCACGGGGGGAAAAAAGTTCTTTATTTAAAATTCTTCTTATTGCTACCAAGGGTGTTGTGTAGTAATTATTCTCCAAGGCACTGGGGAGGATTAAATGTGAACTGCAGCACTGGATTGTGCCAAGCAAAGGCATTCCTGCTCTCTGGAGTGTGTGTAAAACACCCAGCACATTTATATGGGAGCAGGATATATATATATGTGATTTTATATATATATATATATATATATATATATATATATATATATATATGATATATATGTGATATATATGTGATATATATATATATATATATATGATATATATATGATATATATGTGATATATAGATATATATATATATATATATATATAAGATATATATATGTGCATTCCATAATTTATATATTATATGGGAGCAGGCTGCAGCCTGGTTTCCATCCCACACCCAGTGCTGCTCTGACAGCTTGCAGGGCTGGGTCTGCTGTCACTCAGGCTCCACAGCTCTGGGGTGAGGCTGTGGGGCTCGGGGCTACAGCCACTCTGGGATCCTCTGACACAGCCCTGCTGGGCAAAACCCCACCTCTGGCTGGAATGCTGGCTGTGTTATAAAGTTTTTAAGCCAGGAAAAGCTACAAATGCAGCCTTGCGGGACCGGAGCAGTTCTTTTTCACAGTGCTGCATGGATGTGCCTTGCTGAGCTCCCTGGCATAGGTGTGCCCTTGTTCCTCCTGAAGTCGTTTCCTCCTGGTGCAGGGGGTTCATGGCATTGCTGGGCCAAGGGGAAAAATGTTTGGAGTGTGTGTAGGCTGAAGTGCTTTGTGTGTCCTGCATTCCCTGTGGTGCAGGTGTCAGACCCTCACACAGGGAGTGGGCAGTGCAGCCAAGCTGAGCTCCTGAGCCTGGCACTGCCAGCTGGGCTGTAGTGGTGACCAGCTCCACTATCCCACACATTTCTGCTGCTGAGGGAGATCTGCAAGTGCCTGAAATCCCAGTGTTCCATTGCTTCCCAAAAGCAGGAAATCCTCAAGGACATTTGGGTGACTGACCCTCTTTGGTGCAGGGAGAGCTAAGGGCTGGAATCCCATGGGGAATGTGAGCTAGAAGGGCCTGCCTGGAGGGGCTGAGGAGTGCAGGCAGCAGCACAGGGATGCCCTGCCCTGCAGGAGGAATTGAGAGGATCCCAAAGCAGCAGCACAGGGATCCCCTGCCCTGCAGGAGGAATGGAAGGGATCCCAAAGCAGCAGCACACAAGCATCCCCTGCCCTGCAGGAGGGGTGGAAGGGGGTCCCAAGGCAGCAGCACAGGGATGGAGGGGTGGAAGGGGGTCCCAAGGCAGTAGCACAAGGATGCCCTGCCCTGCAGGAGGAATGGAAAGGGTCCCAGAGCAGCAGCACAGGGATCCCCTGCCCTGCAGGAAGAATTGAGGGGGTCCCACAGCAGCAGTACAAGGATCCCCTGCCCTGCAGGAGGAATGGAAGGGATTCCAGGGCAGCAGCACAAGGATCCCCTGCCCTGCAGGAGGAATGGAATAGATCCCAAGGCAGCGTGGCCCCTGGCTGGCTCGGCACTGCACTGCAGGGAGGGTGGAGCCGGTCTGTGCCTGCCTGCCCTGCCCGCTCCGGGCCCTGCCTCCAGCCCTGCATATTTGTAAATCAGCCTGTGGCAAAATCCCCAGAGCCCTCGCACAGTCGGTATTCAGCGGGCTGAAACTAATCCAGCGCTCTCGGCAACTTGATATTTCTCAGTGAATCCCTGCCAGTAAATTCTGCAAATCCCGGAGCTGGGGAGGAGAAGGAGCTCTCCAGGCAGACTTTTGGTAGCTCTCTGGCTTGACTCAACGCTATAAAGACTAGATTTACAGGGCACAGTGAAGTGATGTGACTGCAAGGCTAACAGAAAACCCAGAGGGGTATTTTTCATTCACAACCTTTTTTTAAGGTACTTTCTGCCCACTCTCCTCAGTGCTGAGGCTTTGCCTATTCAAAAAGGCTTTGTGGGAATTCATCTGGGGGGAATTGAGAGCCCACCTGTGTTTGGCTTCCCTAGAAAAAACATTTCCTTAGAAAAACCAAACCAAGCTGCATTTGTGGGACCAGATTCAGTCCTGGCACTGTTTCTTCTGTTTGGTTGTAGGAAGGTGTTTCAGAACTGTTGTCCTAGTAACATCTTTTTAATATCATTTTGCAGGTACTTTTTATGGTCCCTATTGGACTCTCAGTAGGAGTTATTTCAGCCTTCCAGATCCCAGCTTTCTGCAACAACAGTAACTTAGTGGCTGTATTTCTTCTGCTGTTGCTCTTTGGGTAAGTGTGGAGCTTAGTTATTTAAATATCACTGCACAGGGTAAGGAACTGGCTCCTGCAGGCTGCTGCAGTCTGAGATCCAGGGGGGAAAATGTGGGCTTTTCTCTTCAATATGCCCTTCACAAACAGTCACTGAGTTGCTCCTTCCAGGAGCAGGGAGGTGAAGCATTGTTGTCATGCCTGCTTTATTCAAAGCAATCCCTGTGTGAGGATATAGAAATCTCCAAGGTCCCAGAAACAGCCCAAGCTATAAGCAAATGCTTGCTGGCCTCTTGCAAAGTTCAAGAGCATTTTAATAGCACAGAGCAAAATAAACAGCAGTAGCACAATTCTGGAAAACTTAGACTTGAATCCTCCAGGCCCAGTATCTCTGTTTTCAGGTGGGGTTCCATGCTCAAAGTATGTCTCATAAACCTTTTCTCCAAATTCTAGCAGACACAAAGGCATTTTTCCTTTCTTTAAGCTCTGTCATGTGGAAATGTAATTACATGCCAAAACAGAACGGTTGTGTTCCAACTCTGGGAGTGTTCAAAGCCAGGTTGGACAGGGCTTGGAGCAACCTGATCTAGTGGCAGGGGGTGGAACTGGATGGGCTTTAAGCTCTCTTTCAACTCAAACCATCCAATGATTTTGTTGTCTGATGTCTTCAGTGGTTTGTTTTCAAAGTAGCCTCTGAGTTACCATGGTTTTCTCTGCACTGTTGGTATTTATAGATATGCATCATTTTCCTGGATGTACCTGCTGGCTGGGCTGTTCAAGGAAACAGGGATGGCCTTCATTGTTTATGTCTGTGTCAACCTGTTCTTTGGCATCAACACCATTATCACTCACTCTGTTGTGTTCCTGCTCTCCCAGGAGAAGGCCACAGACCAGGTAGGAGCCCCAGAGGTACTGAGCCTGTGGTGAGCCAGCAGGAGGGTTCCTGTGGGCTTGGTGGCTTTGATTCAGGTCTGTAGCAGCTGGACACAGCCACAGGATTTCATGGGCTTCCCTACAGACAGGACAGGAGTCACATATGGATCTTGCTTGGCTGTAAATCTGCACCCCCAGCAAAGAAAGAAATGATGGTGACAGAGGGGAGAGCATGGAAAGGGAGGGAGAAAACTGAGGACAGTTTATAACCACCCTGGTGATGGAAGATGGAGGACAGAGGTGCTGGAGATGCTTGATAAGAAGTTGTTGATGGACACTTCAAACCATTGCTGAGTTCTTGAGCATGAGCTGTGGGGAGTGACAGCTGAATGTCACTGCCCTGAGTCTGACATGTGCTGCAGTTAACCCAGCACCAGCTGTCTGTCATTCCAGTCTGTAATGCAGTCATCTTCTCCCTGCAAGGATGAAAAACAGCCCAGAGACAGTGATGATTCCCTAAAGTAAAGCCCTCTCTTAAACTGAGATCTGCCTGGGAATGGCTGGGATAAAATGCACACCTTACACTTAGATTTCTTTCTTTATGGAGAGCAATTACAATAGCTGGGTTGGATTTTTCTCTCTGTCTGGACAGAGTTTGTTCAGCAACCCCTTGGATTTTAGGAATATGCAATTATGATCACCATTCATCCCCCTGTGCCCCAGTGGCAGGGACTCAGTTCCTTTCCATGCTAATTTAGTGCCTCTCCAGTTTGCTTTGTGCCCTAATCCTTTCTTCTGCTAGAAATGTACCAGAGTTCTTTGCTGTGGGACTGCACTGGGCTGTTCTGCTGTGAATTAGCTGGAAAAGCCCTTCTATGTCTAGAAAAGCCAAACCTTTTGTTTTATGGAGATGTTTGTCCAAGGAAAACAGCCAGGGCAGTGCTCCAGGGCAGCAGGCTGTGCTGGACAGATTAGGGGGGCACAGTGGCAGCGCCCAGCTCTGGCTCATGGTGGGTTCAGGGTGCAGGAGCAGCAGCAGGGACCATGCTGGGAACTGGCTGCTGTTTACTATGGGTGATCACAACGTCAGAGCTGCCTGTTGACTTTTATGACCTTGTGCCTGTGAAACGAGCTGTCTGCAGAGCTCTTTGCTCTCAATTTATCTCTGCTGAGACACAGGCAAATCCCAATGTAATTGTTACACTTCAGACCCACAGTAAAACCTATGAATTTATTCCATGAATAAAAGCAGTGACTGACTGTGCTGCTCTTTGTTGTTTTTTTTTTCCAGGGCTTGCATGATCTTGCTGAAAATTTAAGGCATGTGTTCCTCCTGTTCCCACAATTTTGCTTTGGCTATGGCTTGATTGAGCTCTCTCAGGATCAGGCACTGCTGGGCTTCTTAAGAGCCTATGGAGTGGATTACCCTGACAAAACCTTTGAGCTGGACAAGACCACATCCAAGCTGCTGGCCATGTTCATCCAGGGCACCGTGTTCTTTGCCATTCGGCTCACAGTGCACGACAGGATGGTCCAGAGAGTCTGGAACAAGGTCCTGGAGTAAGTAACATCTGCAGCCTCAGTCCTAAGTTGTGACCATGTTCACAGGGGTGGATGTGAGAGATGAGATGAGGATCTGACTCCATGTTTCAGAAGGCTTGATTTATTATTTTGTGATATATATTACATTAAAACTATATTAAAAGAATAGAAGAAAAGGTTTCCTCAGAAGGCCAGCTAAGAATAGAAAGAATGATCACATAGGCTTGTGGCTCAGAAAGTCCAAGCCAGCTGTGCTGTGATTGGCCATTAATTAGAAACAACCACATGAGACCAATCACAGATGCACCTGTTGCATTCCACAGCAGCAGATAATCAATGTTTACATTTTGTTCCTGAGGCCTCTTAGCTTCTCAGGAGAAAAAATCCTGAGAAAAAGATTTTCCATAAAAGAAACAGTAACATCTGGAGCCTCACTGGGAACAGTCCCAGGCACAGCTCCAAGGTCTCATTCTGGGTTCCCACACCATCACTGGCAATTATGCAGCCCATACATTTCCAGGACAATTTGTGAATGTGGAGTGAGTTTTCTCTCAGTTAATATTAGAATATTAACTAGCAGAGGTGTAGTTTACAGAGTGCCCTGGTAGTTGGTGCTGGCTGGCACTGCAGCCCTGGGTTTGGTGGGTGGATGCTCAGATGTTGGTGAGGGCAGTCATTCCACTGGCAGCCTCCTCTGTTTGGCTCTCCCCATCTCCTCTGCCCTGGGTGCACACAGAGAGGAGTGAGAACATCCCTGTCACCTGCATTAGGAGCTGTCCACAAGGCAGGACCTGCTCCAGCCCAGAATATCTGCTGAAAAATAGGAGGAAAAAACAGGCAGTAGGAGAACACTGAGTGGAGCAAATACCGGGAGAGAATAGAAATGTATATCTGAATATTGTGTGCATGCCCTGGGGTTTCACAGGGAGGCTCCCTGGGATCTATCCTGGGAGATAACCGAGATCTAACTGCTGGCTGGTGCCTGAGGCTGAGTTCCTCTCTGCCCTCCCCAGGTTCCTGTTTGACAGAGTCCATGGCAAAGCCTCCCTTCTGCCCCCTGCGGCCGTGGAGGATGGCGATGTCCAGGCTGAGAGGAGCCGGGTGGAGTCTGGCAAAGCTGATTTCGACGTGGTGCAGCTCCAGAACCTCACCAAGATCTACCACCTGCCTCACAAACGCATCACAGCAGTGAAGAACATCAGCCTGGGCATCCCTGCTGGGGAGGTGAGTGAGGGGAAAAGGCTGCTGGCACCTTCCCCTGTCACTGCCATCTGGCATCTTCCTTTCTTTGCCTCATTTATTGATTCTTGGGGCTACAGCAGTGACAAAAGGCTCCTGGTAGATTTGGGACATCAAGTTTGAAGGCCCTAGAAGGAGGGAAAGTGGATGGAATTGATGGAGCTCTGTATTCAGAGCAAAATGTCTGCATGCTCTGTTTGTACAGTGCAGTCTTGGGCGGGGGGAGGTCACTGGGGATCACCAGGTGGTAAATGATGACAGCAGAATGTGTCCAGCTGAAATTATTCACCTGAACTGCATGGGAGATGGTGAGTCAGGCTTATCTGTTTGTGTTTTCTCATCAGGGGAAGGCAAATCACTCCAGATGAACATACATTTTCATGAATTAGAACCTAAAATTAACTCCAAAGAAAAAAACATTCTTTGGTCATGTCAGTGCAGTGAGAAGTGAAAAGACAGGAGTACACAAAGCACCTCTGAGATCCAGAGGAGACTGGAGACCAGATTGTACCTCAGGCTGTGCACCTGACTTGTGGGGAAGCTTGGAATTAATCCTTGGCACATGGTTTATTTTAATGGCCTGGGTCCCACTGAGATGAAAGGACAGTATCCTCACATGGACACTGTGCTGGTCTTTATGGCTGAGGATTTTTTACAATCCAGGACTGCCATTTAGGTTTATGACTTCTAGCAAAATTCACCCTGATGCTGGTGGGACTCAGGGCACCATTCCCCAGCTGTAAGCAGGAGCTGTGGCCCTGCACTGCAGACTGTGCACAGCTCCTGTTCCTGTATGGACCAAGGTGGGGAAGGGCCATGGGTTGCTGTGCATCCCCAGCACAGGAGGGCTTCCACATCAGCTGCTCTGTGCTAATGATGGCAAAATAACAGTAATTATCAGCACAATGGAGATGGCTGATGCAACACACAACTGCCTAAATCCAACCTTAGCTATAAAATGTGGATTTTACCATGACACTACAGGGAGATAATTCTTCATCTTATTAAGGTAGTGCTTTGGTGATAGAATGTGACAAAAACCTTGTGTTGGTGAAGGTTTTAACCAGTGCCAAACCTCACTCACCCCATTCCCAGGAGCAGCTCTGTCCCTGTCAAGGGGAGGCTTGGCACAGATTAGCTGCTGGGGATTTGGGCCTGAGCTCCTGCAGAAATGCAGCTCACAGTAAAAGGATTGACTCTGCTGGAGACACATCCTTGGTTCTTCACCACATTAAACAAATGGTGCTAATATAAGCTGGAGTATATTGCATCATAAACAACCTCCATTATAGCACTGGCATGCTCTGAGCTCCTCTGGCAATTCATCTTGCTCAAGGGACTGGAGAAAGAAGGGCCAAGGTGCACTGAGCACCCATCTCAGAGCAATATTTCTGCATGTTTACATTTTGACTTTCCTTTCCCAGTGCTTTGGCTTGCTTGGTGTGAACGGAGCTGGAAAGACAACAATCTTTAAGATGCTGACAGGGGATATTGGAGCATCCAGTGGAAGGCTGCGGGTCCAGGATCACTCTGGGTATGGAGGATATGATTTCTGGGGAAGCAAATCAACCTGAGAGCAGTTTTTAAGGCTGGGTGGCAAAGGAAAAGAAATGTAAAAATCTGAAATAAAACACTCAAACCAGAGCAAAAGCAAATTAACCAGGGAATTCATCCTTTGAAGGTAGCATGGTTGCTTCCTGGGGGGTTGCACTTTGCTGCTCAGAGGTGTTTGTTCCACTTCAGCCCATTGCAGATGGGATCAGGCTCAGATCCTCAGCAGGGGGATCCCACTTCTAAGCCAGACCTGGAGCCCAGAAGGGCTCACCTCAAAGCTTTCCTTACCAGGTGTAGGCTTGGTGGCAGCTGTGCTGGCAGTAACTGCAGAGCTGCATACTGGACATGCAGCCTCTGCAGAACTGGGAGCCTGAAAGCTGGAGCTCTGCAGATCCACTGCATTTTCCTTCAAGGGTTGGGGAGGTGGCTAGGGAGTAGGAGAAAAAGATTTTCTCCCTCCTGTTTGATTCCAGAGCACGCTGGCAATTCAGTGAGGTTACAGTGATGTGCCACCTCCTTCCACAGGTCCTTGAATGACATCAGTGAGGCCCACTGGTCACTCTTTGGCTACTGTCCTCAGGAGGATGCCTTGGATGACCTGCTGACTGTGGAGGAGCACATGTACTACTACGCTCGGCTGCATGGCATCCCAGAGGGGGACATCAAGGGAGTGAGTAACAAGGGCTTTGACTTGCAGCATTTCTGCCATTTGGAGTCTTTAAATCAGTCCTTCAGTAGATCCATGTGTGGTATTCCATGGGCTGGGCATGTTGTGGAAGCAGAACTCTTGTCCCCTAGGTTGTACTGCAGCTCCTTCACCGGCTGAACCTGATGGCCTACAAGGACAGAGTCACCTCCATGTGCAGCTATGGCACCAATAGGAAACTGTCAACTGCTCTGGCTCTCATTGGCAACCCATCCATTCTGCTGCTGGTGAGAAATGGGGTCTTGTTGAGAGGGAAGAGGAGCAGGTCCTTGGGCTGGCAGGAGAACTTGGACAGTCTCACAAAACCTCCTCAGGCACAGCTTAAGGGACACTCCCCACGTGCCCATACTTGGCCTGACAACAGAAACCATCACAGGGAAATTCAGATTCCATCAAACACTCATATTTTCTTTGAGGGTATAAGAGAGTGGCAAGTCTTTCAGTTTCTCTGGCAGCATCTTCCAGAAGTCAAAATTAGACCATATATTTGCCAATTAAACTCTGCTCTCTCTTGTCTTTTATTTCTATCAATTTACCTGCACAGCTTTGCAAGAAAAGCAGCAGCCAAGGCTCCAGAACTGTAGGAGAGCAAAGGGGCCACTTTCCTCAGGATTAGAACATGACTGCTTTTTTAGGTTTGGCTTCCTGACATGTCTTTCACTCTGAAATTCGAGTTCTTCCATGGGCTTACCCTATTGGTAAAACCTACCTTTCTGTGCAGTTTTCCCACTTGCTGTGCACTCAATGTGTGCAGAACTCTGTGAGCAGGATTTCCAGTATTAAGTTTGATACCTAGTGGACATAATTATCCCTTATCCCAACTTCTATTGAGCCCAGCAGTGCTGCCTTTACTTCTGACCACCTGCCAGTGCTCCTGCTGCTTTGTGAGATAAAAAAAATCTCTAAAAAAATAGGAGGGGGAGATTCTCTCTATATTAAACTCCTGCCTGAGCCCAGGCTTGTTTATTTTTTGAGTGCAAATTTCCATCCAATCCTGTCTTTCCCAACAGGATGAGCCGAGCTCTGGAATGGACCCGAATGCCAAACGTCACCTTTGGAAAATCATCAGTGAGGAAGTGCAGAACAAATGCTCAGTGATACTCACATCCCACAGGTAGGGCTGGGCTGCTCTGCCTCTCTTTTTGGGGTCAGCACAAGTGTGGAGAGACCCATCCCTCCCTGGTCCTTGCACAGTTTCAGGGCACCAAGCTGTGACAGGTTTGGGGGTTTGTTGTGGCTGAATGTGGTGTCCACAGAGACCCACAACACTTTAGGGAAGACCAGTGGTGTTCTCCAGGTATTAACCATATTTTTATACTTTCTCAATGACTAATTAGAGTTTCTTGGTTGGTTTTGCAGCATGGAGGAGTGTGAGGCCCTGTGTACCAGGCTGGCCATCATGGTGAATGGGAGTTTCCAGTGCATTGGCTCTTTGCAGCACATCAAGAGCAGGTCAGTAAAGTAAACCTTTTCCACTTTTACTGAACAGCCTCTGGAGTTACTGACCTACAGCTCTGAGTGCTCAGAACATGAGACCTGTGTTATCAAAACAATGACATTTCCTGGTTCATGTCCCTTAAACAGTGCTGAAATTCTGTGTTAACTAATGCACTTTCTACTTCCTCACAGCCTGCCTTCCCAGAATGTGTCCCCCAAAGTATTCTGTTCACTGCTACAAATGAGAAATGTGTATTAGGGCTGAGCTTTGGTTTTATTAGTTATATTAATAGCTCAGCTTCTTTCTAAGTTACACTGCAGGTTAACAACCCTGACCCCATTCAAGCTGCACCATTCCTGGATTAGATTTCCCCAAAGAGGCTGTGCAGCACTCTCAAAGGAGTTTCTTCATCTGTTTTTCTCTTTCCTACAGTGTTAATTGTGATTTTCTTTCTCCCCCAGATTTGGAAGAGGATTCACTGTGAAGATGCACTTAAACAGCAGCACAGTTTGCACTGAGAAGCTGACAGAGTTCATGAAGTCACACTTCCCAAATACATGCCTGAAGGTAAGCAAGGCAAATGCTTTCACGAGGGGCTTTCAAAATCCCTTCAAACTGACCAAGGAGATCCTTGCAGGGTAGGCATCTTGTGACAAACTGTGCACATAGATCTGAGCTCCCAGAGCCACACTTGTCACTGCTTTCAGCTGCATTTTCTGAGGGCTGGAGCACTCCAGTTCCTGGTGGCTGAAGTAACATCAGCCAAGGAGCTGCAGTGACCCTGGAAGGCAGCTGTTAGGTGCCCCTCTGCCCTGGGAATGCCCTTCCCTCTGAAGCCTGGAATGGATGGAAACCCAATTTAGGTTCAGTGGGTAGAGATGTTTCCAGTACTTCCAGTAACTGAGTAATTGTAAAACCAAAGTAACTGAGTCACAAATCCCATCCATTGGCTGTAACCCAATCTCTGCATGAATCAAAACTGCACACCTGGAGCTGGAAAATGCCATGGGCACTGTTGGATCCAGCTGTTGGATTTGTTGGCTCTGGGCTTTCTCCCACCACTCCTGTCCCCACAGGATCAGCATTTCAAGATGGTGGAGTACCACGTCCCGGTCTCTGCAGGAGGGGTAGCAAATATATTTGATCTCCTGGAAGGCAACAAAGCAGCCTTCAACATCAGGCACTTCTCTGTGAGTCAGACAACGCTGGAGGAGGTAAGGAATTAAAATGTGAGGCCATCCATTTAAAACTGCTAACAGGGGAGCAGAATGATGGTTACACATAATGGACTGCTGCACACAATAGACTACAGTTTGAAAGGGATTTCCATCTATATTCCTCCTGGGGGTACTTAGTCAGCACTGCTGCCTCCAGGTACCTCTGCTGGTGCTAGGGAAGCATACAGAAAGCTGCCTGGAGCATAAAGGATCTATTCTTCCCTCTGCCAGTGCTGATTTCAGGAGCCTCGTGGGTGTGGGTGAAGGGCAGGATTATGAATCACCCCCAAGTCCAGGGCTAGGCTTTCCACCAGTCCTGAAAACATGCTTAATTTCACTGTTCACGTTTTAAGTTCACTTAGCATTACTCCAAACTTTGGGGTTCATTCCATTTTCCCTGGGAAGAACATTCCCAATGGCAACAAAATCTCATAGGGAGCACATCAGCTGAAGGGATTGCCACAAGGACTGTCCAGCAGAAATCACCCTGTTGAGCATCAGCACCTGGAATGTTAGGTTTGTCCCAGACAGAGGAGCAGAGCTGCAGCCCTGCAGTGCCATGGACTGCGACACAGCAGTCTGGGAGGGATTCCCTCAGTGCTGCTCCAGTAAGGGGCAGTGGCTGTGAGAGAAACAGGCAGGCAAAGCGCAGGAAGCCCCAGCTCAAATTCTGTGGGAGGACAGCTTGGCTCTGTGAATATGCAAATGTGATTGCAGGGAGTGTTCTGGTGAGAGTCCTTTCTGTATTCATTAGCTGCTGTTGAAAGGAAGGCTGTTATGTGTGGTTTCACACACCTCTCTGTACACTCTGCAGTTGTGCGTGCACAGATGTCAATTACACAGGGACAGATGGGTTTATGAAGTAATCATGGGACTGTATTACAGTGTGATTGAAAGGAGCACTGCATGGGCAGTGCCTGGCTGGCTCCTAAGGAGCCTGAGCTGCAGGACAATGAGGTTCCATGCAGGAATGTCTGTACATCCATTTATTGACATGAGCCCACAGAAGCCCAACCATTTGCAATTCTCAAATTCAGCGTGAATCCATCCCCGAGCGAGCTCTCCAGGCTCACAGTCAAATGAACAGCCATGCCTTTTTTATATTCATTCATGTCATAAATTATTTATGCTGTCACACACTGACTGTTTTCCTTTAAACTTGCAGGTTTTCATCAACTTTGCTAAAGATCAAGCAGATCCTGATGGCGCGGATGCGGGTCCTGATGTGACATTGGACAGCTCTGACACAAGTAGCCAGGCTAGCACCATAAGCTCCATCTATTGAAGGGATCATAGAAGCTGGGGAAAAGCCCTGACAGCCCTTCCAACCCTGTTTTAAGTGATTTTAGGGTGATGAGGATAAGCAGTCCCACTTTCTTAAAGTACTTTGTTTTTTTGATAAGCGCTTAATTAACGTCACTAGGAACGTGGTAGATCTTTGAGACTGGCACTTGGTTACAAATCAGATTGGGCTTTCCACAGGTTCTTTCCCCTTCACCCCCAATTCTTGTTTTATGATCACTGTAATGGCTGTGAGGATTTAAACACCACCTGCTACTTGTGGCTGTGATGGAGCAGAGGAGCTGTGGGCAGTGCAGGTGTCTGAGCACAGAGCAGCCCCACAGCCACAGAGGAAAGCCACACTCCTCTCCCTGCTCAGCAGCAGACTTGCTGGGTGAAAGTGGCTCAGTTCTGACAGGCTCTCCCTGGGGAAATGGGGCTCATGGCCTTGCCCCTCCTCACAGGGGGGTTGTGAGGATGCAGGTGTTAAATACTGACAGTGGCAAAGGCCATCTTTGGTAATGACACAGAGCTTCTCTGGTTATGTCAGCACAAATATAACTATTTTGTAAGCTAGTGCTTCCAGTGGTTTTGGTTTGTTCCTGTAGCTTATTCCAGCTCTGTGTAACTCCTCAAGTGAATCCTCTGGTCCCAGGCAGTTCCTGGCTCTTGGCACTCAGTGGAAGATGATTCCCCCAGGAGCCCCTTTCTCCTTCTGGCTGGAGTTCAGGGCTGCTCTGGAACAGCCAAGGAGTGGAACAGGGCAGGTCTGCTGGCTGAATGCTCTGACAGGAAGAAGCTCTTTGCTTCATAAGATTGTATTTCCCTGAGCACAGCAGAAGCAAGGAGCATCCCCCTTGCTCATAAAGCCTCCATCTGCAGCAGCTTTGCCTCTCTGTGTCCTCTCCAGTGACCTTCCTCCTCAGCCCCACGTGCTGGCTGCCCCCTGACCCTGGAGCTGTGTTTTCCCACATAACAAGGCATCATTAGCTCCTGCTTCAAAGACTCTGCCTGCTGGCTTGGAGGGAGTGCTCTGCCCATTCTGAGAGCAGCCCCCAGCAGCTGAGTTCAGCACACCACCACACACACCTTGCTCTCTTCCCCCAGAATGATTAATAGATAGGATAGTTTAATATGATTCTTTATTAGATGTATCAGCATAAGGCCCCAGAGACTCGGGTTTGGGTCAGGGCATTGATGTACCTTCAAGCACAAAATGAACTTCAACTCTGAGCTCAATAAACTTGCTGTTGCTGGTAAAACAGATTGCAGATAAAGCCTTCCCTTGTGAGACCTGGGGTGGCCCACACAACTTACCTGGGTTCACCTACACAATTCCAGCCAGGTGGTTTCTTCTTCCTTTTCTTCTCCTTCCCTCAAACTAATTTAAATCAAAGGACCCTTTGATGAAAGCTGCAATGACACATCTTTGCTACCCTGACCATGAGTTTGACTAGTTCAGCTTCTCTGTGATGCCAGGGTTTGCTGTGAGAATTGTGCAAGGAGCAGCACTTTGTAAAACCCCAAACACCCTTGGTATTCAGTGGCATGCTGAAGTTCAAGGTTTAGCTGCTGCAAGGAGGTCATGTCCTCTCCTTGGTCTTGGTGGTAACTTCCTACTGATAGTAGGAGGAGTTTTATTATGGATTGAAAGTATTATAGAGCTTTGAATTATGCCTCAACCTGCTGACTGTAATTAAAACTGGGATTCAGCTTCTTTGCAGAATGCATTTGACACCTGCAGTTTATAAGTGACTGAAAAAGCTGCCCAGACATCCATTGTAGCTTCTATTATTATATCTCCAGCTCTGCAAAAGCTCTTTTTTCTCATTTTCATTGCACATCTTACACAGATCACAGTATAAAATTAAGCTTTTCTCTAATAGATGGCTTGTGCTCCCTGCAAAGGACTCAGAGCATGAATGCCAATGATTTAAATGCAGCCTTGTAATACCAATCAGAGTATTATTTTATTATGTCGATGGCTTTGCAACTGGCAGTGAAAGATGGATCTTCAGACTCTGTCCAGATGTATTTTACATGTAATTGAGGGAGACTGATACAAAACTATTCTTTTGTCCCTTTAGAGCCTACTAATCAAACAGGAAAAAAAAAAAAAAAAAAAAAAAAAAGGAAGTGATTCATTGGAATACTTCAGCAAGTTGCAATTTAATTGTGTAAAATAGAGTTTTGAGGAGAAAAAAAGCCAAAAGCATCCTTTGAATTCCCACCCAATTCTGGCATTAATAGAAACATCTGCTCCGTGTGAAATGTGTCACGGCCATGATCTACAATCCCCGCTCTCACTCGCAGGTAAAAATAAACCATCTGCTCTTGCAATCAAGGCTCTGGGTATTGGTCCAAGCAAGGCACAGTTTATTTACTGGGGGAATTGAACTGAGGCCCGTGGAGAAGCAGCTACATCCGTTTGGGGGCTGGAAGCATCTGGCAGGGAGCTTGTACATAACGTCACCAGGAGCTGCATTAGCATTCCTGCCACTTTCCAAACATCCCATTCCCTGCAGAGCCTCAGATCCATTCTGGCCCTTCTGGAAGAAGGACATGCTCCAAGCTCAATTCGAGGCAAAACCTTGGAAGCCAGCACCCTCCATGCCTCCCATCACCTCCCTGTCCCAGGGGTGGCCAGGAATGCAGAGCACTGCCTGAGAAACCACCGGTTAGAATCTGAAAGGTTTTGAGCAGGGTCTACAGGACAGGAGTGTCATACTGTGTGTCCCCCACTGGCAGCCCTCTCTGAACCACCACAAAAATTTTGGCTTTACATGACTCTGCTTCCAAAATAAGCCACCTGGCTGCCTCCTTCCTCTGGCCTGAGCAGGGAGCTGGGATTGCTGCGAACCACGGCACACACCTCTCCAGGAGCCAGAGACGAGTGTGTGTTCCAGGGGAAACAAGCTTTTCATCTTCCTCCTTTAAAGCAGCGTCACCTCAGTCACCCCAATATCCCCCGAGGGGGCAGCAGTGCCAGGGCGAGCCCGCCCAGCGCGGTCACACAGCCCCGGGGCGTTAATTGGCACTGGCTTCATTTAAAATGCATTTAACACCAGGGACAGGCAGGGCAGTCGCTAAGCAGGGCCGGGGAGTCAAGGAGGAATTGCAGAACTGGTTGTGTGCATTGGCAGGCTGATTGAAGTGAGGTTTGTAATTGGAGTTGTGGACTTGGAGACAGTGATTCAAATCTCCATCCTGCCTTTATCACTTTGTGCTGCTGATGGGAGCACGGTGCTGCTCCCTTAGCTCTGCTCTCGGTGCAAATGGCACTGAGGGTTTGGCAGGGTCAGAAAGGGTCTGGCAGGGCTGGGGAAAACTCTTCAGAGGAGCCTGTGTTAAGTAAAATATTGTAAATATCAATTCAAGGTCTCTAATGGGATTTTTTGGTCCTTTCACGAGAGCTGCAGGAGTGGTTTTGTTACTGGGTCAGTTCAGTAAACATGTTTACAGCTCAGATGAACACATCCAGGTAAACAAAATTCAGTGGCTGCTGGAGCTTAGGGGCTGGTGGTGCCCAAGGACCTGTAGCCTGTGAGGAGTCACTCCTGGGATCCAGAATTTGAGGGATCCATCCTCATAACTGGCTCATAAACAATGGGGTTTAGCCTGTTGGAAGAGCTTCAGCTTCCTTCCATTGCTGCAGCCTCACTGAAGTTGCTGGGAGGCTTTTTGCAAGCCAAGAAAAATATCTGTCTCTTCAGTTAATAGTGGAAGGGTTATTTTGTGAGCTGGTGAAGAAAGAAAAATGGGTTTTGGATGGCAACAGCACATAGCATGATTTTACTCTTTTTTTTTTTTTTTTTTGTGGACAACAGCTGTGATCTTGCATAGCTCTAACAAAGTATCAACAGCATATTAAAAGTGAGCACAACACAGAAAAGCAGCAGTGGGGAATGACAAAAAAAAAAAATGAATTCACCAGAATTATCATTCCATGGCAGTATTTAAAGAAAAAAAATCACTCTAATTAATTTAGTTGTTCGGGGAGAGGATGGAAAGAAGGAAGATGGCACTGAAATAATAAGAAGAACATTAGTAAGGGACACAGCCAGCTCTTGCTGTTGGCTCTGCTCCTCATGCTGCTCACATACACAGCACTGGGAAGGAGGGAGCACAATGGAGAGTGCAGCCCATTTTGGGCCAGACCTGACTCCTCAAAATATCTGTAAAATGCACAAAATCACCACAGGGAGTGTGAGAGTTTTGGGTTTGGAGGCTGCCCCATGTCACGGTACAATCCTGCAGCACCTGGATGGTGGCACCTGCCCAGAATGGAAGAGTCCCACTGGGATGAAGAACACAGATCCTTGTGCCTGCAGCCCATGGAGCAACACTTGGAACCAGTTCTCCTTCCCAAGTGCTCATTCTGGGGGGTGCAGCCCCCTCTTCACTGCTCATTGCTGCTGGGAGACCCTTCTGGAAACAAGGAATCCACCAGGGAGAGCAACCCTGAGGGCCCCATGCTGGGGGTGAGACAAGGACATGGCAGCACTCCCATGAGCTGTAAGGCTCAAAGCAGCAACCCCAGCCTTGGGTGTCATGGAGGTGCTTTGTTTTAAGCAGTGAGGCTTTCACTAGACCTGCAGGTTGGGTAGAAATGAAGCTTCTCTTGGAAAGAGTTCAGGTCTTCACTGACAAAGAAAAAAAAACAAAGCACGGCCTGACAATTGATGGTAATGCACATGAGATGGAATCCAGGTGAAGACAGGAGAAGGTTTGAGGGCTCTTACCTCCATGAGCAGGTCAAGGTGAGCTCTCAGCCCTCTGCTCTCCATCTCCTGGTTGCCAGGGGAAGGGTTTTTGCCCAGCCCTCTGCCTCTTTCCCAGCCAGAGACAAACAAAGTGAAGCACATCCAGTGTGTGACAGGGAGGAAGAAGCAGGATGAGCTGCCTCTCCATAACCAGACCCAGCTGGGTTATTCCTGCACAAGACAGCAATGAATCTAAGTTAAAATGATACCAACCAGATTGAAATGCAATTAAAGGAGTCCCCTTAGGGTTGTGCATCCAATTAGTGGTGTACCTTTAATTACACCAGTGCAGTTCCAGGCAGGCACGTGCTGAGAGGGCCAGCAGCCCAGAGCTGAAGCCTGCCTGGTGACCCATATCCCTGAGGTCCCAGAGGAGGGACATGAGGGTTTGCATCACCAACAGTGGCCTGCTCCTCCCCTGGGAAAGAGCTCCCAGAGGAGAAACACAGGAAGGAACCTTTTTCAGCTTTGTAAGAGCAATTTTCTCCAACAGACAGTTACTGGAAAACAATTAAGATCCAGGTACTTCTAAAAGGTGAGAGCTTTTCACATGTACTTTTTTGTACATGACATTTCCCTCTTGCAGTGCCAGAATGTACCCTGCCTCCAGGAACCATGAAAGTTAAAGCAACAGAGTTGACTTTGATAAGAAAACTCATTAAAAAATTAGCAATGCAAACATTAAGAATTGCTAGAAACACCAGAGCACTTCTAGGTGTCCCTTGGCCATCTCTGTGGAGTTACATGAGGTAAAAGAAGTTTAGCCTTGAGCATAATTCCATCCCCAAAGCAGCCAGCTGTGAGTCTGGAGTATGGCTCTTGCTCTGGAGCCTCAGCTGAAGTCCCTGTCAAAGCCTGCAGTCAGGCTGCTCTGGACAGCAGCAGGCTGTGCAACCACACCTTGCTCCCCCAGATTCTTATTTAAAATCCTGTCAAAGAGAGAAAATAAAGCTGAAGGAGACTCTCCTTTACCCATTGTACCATGAAGCCTGAGGGCTGGCATGTGTTGATAATCCAGGTACCCCGTTTTAATGCAAACTCACATCACCACATGGAGCCTTGGGATCAATTCTGAGGTGCACAGAAGCAAATGCTTCATCATCTTCACGTGCTGCTTCTCAGGTGTTTCTTTAGGTACCTTCAATGTCAGTAAAACAAGCAAAAGCTGAGAGCATAGACTTAATCAGATTAACAATTATAACCATTCCCATCCATCACTGCAAAGCAGCTGCAGTGCTGCCAAATCCATTCTGCTGCAGGAACCTGGGGAATCACAGCCATGCCTGATCAGCCAGGCAAGGGCAGCTCTGGCTTTGCCATAAAGAGGAAGAGAGCTGCTGGGGCCTCTAGCTGCTCAGAGTGACCCCAAGAAATGTTCAAAGTCTCTTTTCCCAGCCCAGCACTTGAAGGAGTCAGAGCTCTTCAGTTCTTGGTCTCGAGGTTGTTTATTGTATCTTATCTATAAAATTCTTTATCCTGTCCTGCCAAGGTCCACTCAGCAAG